GGAAGGGGGGGAAATAAAGGAAGGGGAGAATAAAAGGGAAGGGGGAGAAAAGGAAGGGGGGGAGAATAAAAGGAAGGGGGGGAGAATAAAGGAAGGGGGGAGAATAAAGGAAAAGGGGGAGAAAAAAGGAAGGGGGGAAATAAAAAGGGGGGAGAATAAAGGAGGGGGAGAAAAAAGGGGAGAATAAAGGAAGGGGGGAATAAAGGGAAAGGGGGGGGAAAAAGGAAGGGGGAGAAAAAAGGAAAGGGGGGGAAAAAGGGAAAGGGGGGGGGGATAAAGGAAGGGGGGGGGAATAAGGAAGGGGGGGGGGAATAAAGGAAGGGGGTGAAAAAGGGAAGGGGGAGAAATAAAGGAAGGGGGGGAAAAAAGGAAGGGGGGGAGAAAAAAAGGGGGGGGGAGGGGAAAAAAGGAAGGGGGGAGAAAAAAGGGGGAAAAATAAAGGAAGGGGGGGAATAAAGGAAGGGGGAGAAAAAAGGAAGGGGGGGAATAAAGGGAAGGGGGAAATAAAGGAAGGGGGGGAATAAAGGAAAGGGGGGAGGGAAAAAAGGGAAAGGGGGGGGGAAAAAAGGAAGGGGGGGAAAAAATAAAAGGGAAGGGGGGGAATAAAGGGGGGGGAAATAAAAGGGGAAGGGGGGGAAATAAAGGAAGGGGGAGAATAAAAGGGAAGGGGGAGAATAAAGGGAAGGGGGGAATAAAGGAAGGGGGGGGAGAAAAAAGGGGGGGGGAAAAAAGGAAGGGGGGGGGGAAGGGGAATAAAGGGGGGGGGAAAAAAAGGGGGGGAATAAAAGGGAAGGGGGAGAAAAGGAAGGGGGGAGAATAAAGGAAGGGGGAGAAAAAAGGAAGGGGGGAAATAAAGGAAAGGGGGGGGAATAAAGGAAGGGGGGGAGAATAAAAGGAAAGGGGGGAATAAAGGAAGGGGGGGGAAAAAAAGGAGGGGGGAAAGGGAAAAAAGGAAGGGGGAGAATAAAGGAAGGGGGGAGAATAAAGGAAGGGGGGAAATAAAGGAGGGGGGGGGGGAAAAAAAGGAAGGGGGGAGAATAAAGGAGGGGGGAGGGGGGAAATAAAGGAAGGGGGGGGAATAAAAGGAAGGGGGGGAAAAATAAGGAAGGGGGGAAAATTAAAAGGGGGGGAATAAAGGAAGGGGGGGGGAGAATAAAGGGGGGAAAAAAGGGGGAGAATAAAGGAAGGGGGGAATAAAAGGGAAAGGGGGGAATAAAGGAAGGGGGGAGAATAAAGGAAGGGGGGAGAATAAAAAAAGGGGGAGAATAAAGGAAGGGGGGAGAATAAAGGAAGGGGGGAGAAAAAAGGAAGGGGGGGGAAAAAAGGGGGGGGGGGGAATGAGAATTTGACAAGGGGGAATTTGGGTTTACTACTCTTTCTTTTTTTTCTTTAAAAAATATTCGACTTTAAAGCCTCTTTTCATATAAAACTTTTTATACTTGGTTTTTATAAAACTTTTTATACTTTTTATAAAACATTTTATATATATAATTTTTTTTATAAAACTTTATGCATTGTTTTTTACAGCTTCGTATATTTGTTTTTTTTTAAGGTTTTTAAATTTTGGGGTATTCGGGGCGCTGTGTTACTTCCGTGTCCCCCCACCAGGGTGCAGAGTGGCGCCACGGGTTAGTACAGGAGGACGACGAGGAGAGATATGCAAGAAACAGGAGGAGAAAAGGGGGAAAAAGGAAGGAGGATAAGTGAAGAAAAGAAGCAGATGGGCGAAGTGGAAGGAAAAGGGGAAAAGGAAAGGAGCGGAGTTGTAGAAGGAAGAGGGGGGGAAGACGTTAAAGGAGAAAGAAGAGGAGGAGGAGGGTTCCCTGCGAGGTTTGCCTCCTCCTCACTTTGCATATATATAGTCACACTTAATGGATATATTTACATAAATTCAGAAACATTAGCTGTGTGCGCGCGTGTGTGTGTGTGTGTGTGTGTGGTTACACACACACACACACACACACATGTGCCTCTGGAATTCCATCCTGGAAGTAATTTGGGAAGCTATATATCATCGTTCTTCAGGTGGTGCCTGGTAGGTGGTGGGAGGGGGGTGTAGTAGATGGTGGGGTAGGTGGTGTTGAAGGTCGTAGGGGTGACTTTGAGGAAGTGACAGGGATAGTAGTGATGGGGAATTTAGGAGGAGGAGGAAGGGGTGCCAGAAAGTGGGGTAGAGAAGGGGAATGGAAAATCCTGTAGGAGTGTTCCCTGCCTGTGATGTCATTGGGGCCAAGAAGATGTGATTTATTGCCCTCACAGAGACCTCTTTCCTGCCCCCTCCATATATCGCTGTAAGCAAAATAACCACAGTGAAAAAGTAGTGAAATTCCAAGCTTTTTCGTTATTTCTCACATTATCACTGTGGTTATTTTGTATATTGTGATATCACCAGTTTACCGTGATGTTATTGCATATCACTGTAAATTAATAGATGCGTCAAGCTGCTTATTCGCTGCAGCTAGGCGATAATTCCTCATCCCCGTTCCCAACCTCTTTTGGCGCTGCATGGGTTTTCTTAAGCTGTGTTTTTGACCCAACCTTCAGGCACTACACCCGTTGTTAGGGGGGGGCCGGTGCCTGGAACCCCTTTCGGCAATGACAGCGGTGATTCGACCCCGCTTAGGCAGTGAAACAAGTTGTTAACAGTTTCACAACTCTGTACTATGCCTCGCCCCTGAACTGTCATCCAACACAGTCATCACAGCGAACAAATGTGTTGTTTACGCGGTATAGGACGGATCTGTGTGTGTGTGTGTGTGTGTGTGTGTGTGTGTGTGTGTGTGTGTGTGTGTGTGTGTGTGTGTGTGTTTGTGTGTGCGTGTGTGTGTGTGTGTGTGTGTGTGTGTGTGTGTGTGAGCATAACAGTACCAATAATAAGGCAGTCAGCCATTACGTTGTTATTCCCTGGCAGCATCGTCCTCATAAAATCAACCACGGTGCCAGTTTACCAATACCTCCATTCGTCTCCTTTCGAAGTAAAAGGAATAATCCACAGAGTTGATATCTTGAATTCATTTAGAGGTAGTCTCTTATGAATTCTCATGTCGCACTGCCAACAATACAGAAGGAGAGATTCGTTGTAGGAGCTTCTGTTGTCACTTTTTCACGTCATGTCTTGATAAAGCTCTATACAGAACTAAAACATTGTTCCGCAAAGTGTATCCTGTGTTCATTTTTTGTGTGTTCGGTTATGGTGTTCGTAGCACTCAAGACGACGTAGACACCACAACCTGGCTGATCAGAAGCTACTTAAAGGTTCATGTTGAGTTCCTTTTGAAAGACACTTGAGGGGTCTAGTTTCAATTCCCTCGTCCTTGAAGGGGAAACTTAAAATCCATAGAACTTTTATGCCTACCCAGTTAAATCTTAGTGTACTTATTACACCGGTGATGTTCTTTACACCGTCTGTCGTCCGTCTCCCGTTCTCGTGAAGTGGAATTTCATCGTGAAGGATGCTACGACGTTTTGATTACCTGATCGACGTAGCTCCTACAAGATGCTTCAGCTAAGCTTAGGAGGTAAAGCTTTGTAAAAGGTCATTCGTATGTGGAATTGTGATATAATTAACTTATCGTAGGGTTGGTGGTGGTAGTAGTGGTATTAGTGGTAGTGATAGTGGTGTTGATTGTGGGAGGGAGAGAGAACTACATTTAGTGGAGTTTCATTCAGTAGGTTATATGATGAGGGATGTTCAAATGAAGTGAGTTGATACCTTAGGGATGTGGTATTTTGACCTTGTGGTGTAGGAGGAAACAGGTCATTATTGAAACCTGGAAGTCATTGTCGGTAGCCAGGAGATCAAGGTCACTCACCGGAAAGATCAGGAGCAGCAACAGCGGCAGTAGCAGCAGCAGGGGCTGAAGGAGCAGCAGCGTGCAGAGGCTACATCAGAGGACGTCAGTAAGGAAGCCAGGCGTCACAGTAACCACACTAGGTCATGCTAGGTCAAGCGGGAGGCTAGAGGCCACCCACGTGTCACTAGCGTGAGAGAGAGGCTTGCGGCTCGTCCATCACGTCTGCCAAAACAAACACATATGGGACAGTTATTTTGGCACAGACTGATGCGCCATCCCTGTAGACAAACATATTCCCGTGCTGTGAGTTCACCACACTCCCTGCTGCTTCCTCTTTAAACAATGAGCGAACATGCTATTTGCCTTCAACTCAAGACGTAACGTGAGATTGAACTAACGTCAGTGAAGTGTCGTTTCCACAGGTGTACACCTGCACCTTTTCAGCCGTCTTAAACGTATGTGCTATCGCGGTTCAGGTGTACAGGTGTGGGCATGTCACCTGGCTGACAGAGACTTGATTCCTCACACCGACTTGTTTATATTGTTAGGTTCACGATAGCGTAAAATCTCAGTCTTCAAAATAAGTTGTTTAAAACGAACGATTATTGTTGTAAAGAACTCGTAGCAAATGTTGGTGTGTGTTGAGCTCACAACAGCGGAAAGGTCTTACAAACTAAGGCTGTTTGTTTCATGTAGTCTGGTGTACATAGTAGGGAGATTAAACCAATATTTTGTATGTGTAAATTATATCTGTTTATTTTTTGAGATTTAAATAGTATGTATTGATAAAACGCTTGTGTCCCCCGTGATTTACTAGTGCTGTAATGTACCCTTGTCCCCTAATGCCCACAAAACTCTTTACGACAAGAGGAGCAACTGTGGAGGCAGCCTCACCAATCACATGCACGGTTATTCAATGCTTTACAACAGCTTCAATTGTTTTTTTTAGTCAGTTTTAAATGCTGAATTTTTCAAAAAAAAAAGAAGATTTCAACAAACATTCTGTACATTTCAGCAACAGAAATATTTATTTTAGGCATGTTTTGTTTCGTCAACTGTTAAAAAAAATTGTACATAGGTTTTTTTTTAGTATCTTAGACCAAAACAAAAGTTAAAAAAAAAAATATTGAGTACGGGTTTGCCATTGTAGGCGAGGCCACGGGTGTCCGAGGGCTAATGTATGCGTGTCTCTGCTCTCTCCTCTAGGCCGGGCGACAACCCATTCTACAGTAACATCGACAGCATGCCTGACATACGACCCAGGAGGAAGTCCATACCTCTTGTCTCCGAGCTGGTGAGTGCTACTGTAACACCCCCACCATTCTCCCCGCCTCCCCCATCCTACCCCACCCTTCCCTACTCACTCCTAGCTAATATGCAGTATAAACACTTACCAGAACAAACCTGGATAACGTTTCGCTCACAGGTGAGCCAAATGTAGTCCAAATAAATTCTTGCTGTTGTTGCATTTTTACTACCCATCCTGTGGGGCATTTATTTGCCAACAGAAATACATTGTTCACTTCTCGTCACACACTTATGGACAAACCACAGCATGGGATCGAACTGGTGACTCTACTATTGTAATTTATTTATTTCTTTTCTTTTTTTTTTTTTTGAAGGGCATAGGATCATTTTGAATCATCTATTCAAATCATTTGGTTTTCCTTGATTATATTTATACTGAGTGACTTACCAAAATTGATTTTCGGACTTGTTCATTAATTAGTCAACTCTGAACCTTCTAAAAAAGTATTCTATTTTCTACTACTTTGAATAAGTATATATGTATATTCTACTTCGAATCAGTATTTTGTTATCCATTCAGTGAATATGTTAGTTCAGTTACCTTTGAACATGGTAATTTGTCGTCAGAATTTTATTTAATTAGATCACATAAACTGTTTAATCAGTTGTATTTGCTTCACCACCTGAATAAATTCAAATAATTTACTTATTAAAACAATAGGTGATATGCACTTTATATTTTAGCATTCTCATACAAGCGTTTAAATATTTTTTAGCGTCTGATAATAAAGCCAGTAATGCGATTTATATACCCATTAACATTAGAGCTGCTTAAAGCTGATAGGATTAGGCAGATGTTGTATTCCCGGCAGCTGTTAGACATGTCTGCATTATCTCCAGTAATGACTGGAGATAATGCAGACATGTCTTGAGCTGTGTACGAGTGTTTTTATCCACTGCCGCATTTATATATATGGGGAAGAATTATTGACTTTATGTTTATTCGAGTGTTGAGTAAGGTATCTCTAGTTGAAGTGACGGGCTGTGGGGTAGGCTAGTTTACCGAAAAGAAACGGCAAAATAATCTTTGATCAATGTGAAAAAAATTTTAACTCGACACGTGATTATTACTGGAAAATCTAGTAGTAGTATTAGCAATAATAATAATAGTATATAATTTTTATATCATAAAAATAATACTCAATCAAGAATAAGAATATTGTTTGAAGATTTAATTAAAAATCTCGGTCAGATTGTGAGGTACGCTGGCCTGGGACAACAAGTCTACGGACGCTCCCACCCAGGTTTCACTTACTCCTCCCAACACCTGTCACCCAAATGTCATTATGACTTTTGAATTCATCTATTTTTAGTTGTTATTATTATTGAACTGCTGAAATTACTGGCTTTATTATTTACGGTTTATTACTTATGTGTGAAGATAAGATGCCGTTGGTGTGTCCTTAGGTACTTAATTAGATATAAATAAAGCTATGTCTCTTTATTATGTTGACACATATCGCTATTTTACTAATCACTGCGAGGTATATCAGTAAGGTATATTGATTAAGCCTTAACTGTAATATTATATTGTTCATTTTGATAGCAGTTTATTATCCATGCCATTAATGATGTTGATGTTGGCTGCTTCTGTTATAGGGATATAGAAGTACACAAAATTTATAGCAAAGTATATGTACATCTATGAGTGTAAACTAACGTGTGTGTTTCTCTGGTGTGTTCCACGCTGCAGGTGCTTAAGGTACTGATCGCTTGTCACTCTTCTCATGTTTTGAATCTTCTTGTACTTGTCCTAAACCAGTTTTGATCTCTTTAACTAGTAGATGTGTGAACTTTTAAGCAGAGTGATTTTTAACCACCATTTAAATAACACATTAAATATACATACATATATTATATATATATATATATATATATTATATATATATATATATATATTATATATATATATATATATATATATATATATATATATATATATTATTTTTAAGTTCCAGTCATGCATGCATTCAAAAAGCTAAAATTTTGTGCTATATTTTACCGTTTATTTTCCTTGCATAACTATCCAGTAAGTTATTTGTAAGTTAGATGTATTATACAGAAGATTAAAGTATTGCAGTTTCCTAATGATATTCGCACTTTGTTTTTAAAAAGGTCTTCTGCACATTTTTTTCTTTCATAGTCGAGGCTGGCAATGTTAATATTTATTTTTAACAGTGTGTGTTAAAAGTTAAGTCGCGTTTCTTTAAAGTTTTTTCAGCTTTCTAGTGACATAATTAAAGGTCTTGTAGATGTTTTCTGATTTGCACAGGTTGCTGTTGCAGTTTTGTTTGTGTTCTGCGCTGAATGGTTATCAGGAAACTACGTCTGGCCTCTGGCTGACGATTGATAACAGATTATTAATGTGATTATGTATGTTTTTTATTATTTATTATCCGTCCCCTTCCCTCCCGCTTCCCTATTATTGTTGGCTGTTGTCTCTGATATTACTTATCCTCACAGAATAGTCTGTTAGTGCCTGACATCTGACGCTGACCTAGCAAAATAATCTTTACTTCTGACAACCTGTTACTAAGACATTTATATTGGACCTTCAACTTATAGTCTAGGTAATTAACCTCTGACCCCGTGTTCCAGGCTATTACATTTGACCTCTGACCATTGGTATTGGCAGTTACATTGACTCTCTCACTCTTAGCTTAACTTTGAACTCTGACCAGCATTTTTTTACCAATATTATTTGACTTTTGATGTCTTCCCTGTGACCTTTGATTTGAGTTTTGACATTTAATACGTGTGTTCTGCCACACTCACGTCAGTGACACCCAGATGGTTGTATCGACACACCTTGTATACAACACTTCATCCTGTCACTCATGCGGTCTGACCTTCCTCCCTCCAGTCTAATGCCTCCAGCTTGACACCCCACTAGTCTGACGCGTCTGACTTGAAATTACCCAGCCAAACTGACATCCTAGCGTGCTTCTATATCATCCATGTATTCGACTAATGTCTGACATTCTAACACCCCTGAACTCTGACACCACTATCGTCTAACACAACAAACAGCCGACCCCAGATCCCTAAAAAGATAAGAACTATATTATCTTGTGCCCAAGACAACTGTACTTAAATAGAAAAAAAATCAAGTTTTACATATATATATATATATATATATATATATATATATATATATATATATATATATATATATATATATATATATATGAAAATGTGTATATAAATAATACAATCAATTAAATTATGATAATAATAATCCTTGGAATACGTGAAGGCACAGTGATGATATGGAGCGACTCTTTCCACCTTTACCCTCTGTCAATAATAGAAAAAGTCCTCTCCAGATGCCGATGTCATGCTAAATTATATTTACCAATTATTATCCTCCTCTCTGCCATGTACCTGTCCACGTACGTGTCCACCTCCATGTCCTCCTCGTCTGTGTTTTCTCGATTATCACGTCTTATGGCCCATCTCCCTCATTCTTGATCCTCTGTGTCCAGTTTATTGTAAGTATGGGTCGTTTTGATGGCTCTTGGGGCGTGGGGACTAGTCTCGCCTTGACGTGGGGGAGGAGGAAGGGAGGGGGCAGTCGATCCATGAAGCGGTGTTATCTAACCCTTAATAACAAATGTTTCTAGCATTAACGTAGGACGCTACAGAATTTAGCTACCGGTTCCTTTCTAACCTTGAATATTCGTTCTCTCCTGCCTTGAAATTGAGCCTTTGCAGACGTTATATTGGTCCATTCATTCCATTATAAGGATTTACTTGTGACTGGGACTGGCCCCTTCTCCGTGGGTACACGTTTTATGTAGGCTTGGTGTGAACATCCCATTTTTATTGATATGGGCCTTCTTTTGAATATAGTGTCTCTGCATATGTCCCACACATTCTGGAGGCACTGACAAATCAGGACACCAAGGAAGGCATCTGTCTTCGTGCTGGTCATAGAGTGCTGGTCACTCAAGTCTGCTTCACAAAGCCAGTCACCTTGTATCTATCACTGTCTTCACTGTTAAATATTATCCAGCAAGTAAGCAACTGCTGGACACCTCATTATTAATTAGAGATCCGCACGTACACATTCCCATGAAGCTGTCACCATCCAGGTGTAATCATTAACAAGCTTTAGAAGCTACCAAGACCACTTGTCATCTACATCGTTGCTTAATAATTCCAGTGCCAGAAACCTTTCATGATAAATGGGTCTCATAGTCACCTATCTGGCAGCGATGATACATCTTTTGCCATTTTTGGCACAGTTTCTCTCTCTCTCTCTCTCTCTCTCTCTCTCTCTCTCTCTCTCTCTCTCTCTCTCTCTCTCTCTCTCTCTCTCTCTCTCTCTCTCTCTCTCTGTCTCTGTCTCTCTCTCTGTCTCTGTCTCTCTCTCTGTCTCTCTCTCTCTCTCTCTCTCTCTCTCTCTCTCTCTCTCTCTCTCTCTCTCTCTCTCTCTCTCTCCCGTGGGTAGGTGGAAGGGCCGGGATATCCCGGAGGCTGTGAACATAATATACCAGGCAAGACTAGTGCCGCCCGTAAGACAGTAGTGCCAGGCGAGACTAGTGCCCCGTCACCCCATGTTGAATGTCTGTCCCTCCGTTTAGTTTCATGTCTTGTTGGAACTGATGTCTTGTTTATTTTTTATTTTTATTTTACCCCATTATACACCATATGCTTGGTCAACCATTCTCTTTGCGATAAATTGATCCAAGACTCATTTTATCATTGGTTCTTACGCGGTGTTGAGCCTTACGAGCGTATGTCCTTGAAGCGGTGTTGCCACCAGAACATCATGTAAATATTAGAATGTATTATAACGTCGTCAATTGTAACGTCACATTTGGCTCGTATGAAATATATAATTTTATGATGTTATTGCGAAATCATCATCATTATATGCAATTCCAGTTTTATGATGAATGGCTGAATTAACGTTTCAAGAACATTTTGAAATTTCCTAGTTTTTTGAAAAAAAAAAATATTCAATTTTTTTTCGTGTTTTTG